TCTTCCGTGAATAAATTTAAATAGTTTTAAATAATTAAAACAAATGATCTCATTAAACAAATTTTTCGAAAAATTATTATCATCAATACAACAGCACCCAACGTGATTAAGTTCAAGTTAAACAGAAACATAAACGAAGATGGCACAAGTCGTGGTAGCACACGTGTCGTGCGTAAGATATCGTCTTCGAACTTTAACTGCGGAAGTCCACTGATGAGTGGGTAATCTTTGTCATTACCACGAATTCGCTTGAATAAGCAATTTGCAACAAAATGCTTCAGACCGAGGTTACTTGATCGGCAGAGCGTCGTACTTAGAATCCAGAGACCCGGTTAGGGTTACTCGCCATTTTTAATTCTGAGGTTGCTAAATGAATACCAATCCGATGAGCGGAAAGGAAACTGAAGAATACACACCATACTTGACACATAGTTGCTGTCAATACTGTCCCAAAAAAGTATGGTTTTTATGGTGAAAGAAATGAAGATCAGCGTGTTACCACTAACTTCATGAAACCTAGAGTGCTAGAAGTGGCTCCTTCATGTACGTGAAAAAGACAAACGTTCGAACGATTACAAACTTTCTTTTTCTTAACAAGTGACAGTGAGGGCAAATTTCAATGGAATACTTTCTGTAACGTTTACAAAACGTCGGTTTTGTGACAGGTTCCTTATCCAACTTCATTCGCACCGAAAGTCAAAAATGATAGGCGAAATCTTTTCCGTACCTATCAGATGCAAATTACCATTCCGGGATATGATCGAAAAATACTTCGACCATCAATCGGATAAATTACCGACTAATTTACAGTGGTGCACTGAGAGGTAGACTCACATTGCTCTAAATCAAATCTAGCGACAGTAAGATCATTCTCTGTTCGTTATAGAAGATACCATGCATCAAGACCATGACCGTAATTCATGCAGCAATGAATGGTGACAATGAACACATTACCTAGACTTCAGAACAGAAAAAAATGCCATCATTTTCAGTTGAAGTGGATGAGCGTAATCACTTAAGTAATGCAACAGCACATATAGCGAAAATATTTTACTTCCATCGGTTAGGAAATCGATATCGCAAACAGAACAAACATTCTCAGGATGATCATGATGAAATAACAAGCGGCCTAAGCAATATTTAAAGCCAATATCTTTTGGTCAGACGTTGCCTCTGATCGAATGTGCACATATTTTTGTTAACGGAATCATGCATGTCAGCGATAATTTGGGCGTATGTTGCGAATGCCGTCAGAAAGAAAGGCGAAAGAACTACTTTTTGCCCAGCTGACCGGACCGGCAGAAATCCCAGGGACGGCCAAGATTAACCTAGTGCAAATACATGGAAGAAGTCTGCTCTAGACTCCGGTTGTTTTCAGTTGAACGTTAGAGTTTGGCAATGAATCGGGAACGTTGTAAGCATTGTCTGGCGTGTCTGCCTCCGCAACCCGAAAGGAGAAGCGGCTATAGAAGGTAAAGATGCACAACTTTGTGGAGGCTGCTGAAATATGCCAGTGACAACAGTTAAGCAGATATCGATTTACAAGTAATGAATACATATTGTTCAACACTTGAAGCACAATTCTTATACTTTTCAGTGCCAACGTTTGAAAGAAAACTATCAAAAAACCATAAATGTACAACAGATCATATATTTTGTTTTGACTGTAATAGACAAAACATTTAAAATTGATTTATGAAAAGAAAACAAAATAGCTGGGCAATCGGAGGCATCCGTTTTATGCCAATAATGATTTCTTTTATATTCTGCTAATAGACTGTTTCAGCCAAGCAAAATCAACGTTAATGATTTTATCCGTTTTGTCATTGTCCATTCGAAACTCTGCCTGTTCTCTTACCTGCAATTCCCAGACTTTTCGAAAGTCCGTTGGTGTTGATCTTAGTCAACAACTTCTAGACTTGATAGTAGGCAGATTAGATGATAGTTCTTCAGATGTTATGTCTCGTCAATTCATGAAAAGATCATACGTTACTGAATCGTTCCAACCTGATAGTATTTGTCTAGTTTCAAACTGTTACTGAATCGCTGGAAGTAAATGACTGAACCTCTCTGCTAGAGCCCTCAACAACGATGACATCCTGCTCTGGTTGTTTCAATTGCAAAGCCACCGATGTGGCCCTTTCCTCCTTAATTTGCTGCGCGATATGCAGAAACTTCGTTTATGAGGACCAGAAATGTACACCGTTCCGAGGGTTGGAGTAATGGCGTCAAGGAACACGTGACTTCGACGCAGAGTGTTAAGTTAACATGTTTTGCAAATAAACTGCATCTGTAATGGAAGAATTTGCGAATACCTCCAGAAAGGAAGGCTAAGTAATTGTTTCTTGCACCTAGCGGCAGGAGGTCCAGGGGACGGCCAAGATTACCTGGTGCAAATATGTGGAAGGAGTCTGTTCCAGACTCCAAGTGACTTCAGAACATTGGAAGTTCTGTCTGACGCGTCTGCCTCAGCGATCCGAAAGGAGAATCGGCCATGGAAGATGAAGAAGATGAAGATAAACCATATCTAAACCCCATAAGTCATTAACGCACCATTCCGATTCTTCATCGCCATGACTGCTGACTGAAAAAGCGCTAACTTTCTTCGGCATTAGCCATTGCTGACCATTTTATATTATTTTCGTCATTGGAACGTTTCAGAGTTCTACTACTACTAGAAGCTTCCATTCAATGAGCTCACAGAGAAGAAAATAACTCATCGTGTAGATTTTTTTTCATTCTTTACGCTTCATTCGCAGTCTCTTTAATTCTTCTAAGTGCATTCCCAATTCGACTGAGAAACAACAAACATGAACAGAACAGTGCTGATATTTTGAACTTTTCGGCCTTTATTCAAGGACTGACATTCCATCAAGAAAATTTGATTCCGTTACCCAAATTCTCTTCATTAACTGTGTTGCAGATTTAGGTTTAGGTAAGGTAATGGGTCAAAAGTTAGGAAGACCCAAATATGTCACGTGTGCTAAGTTTATATATAAACGACACACAAATGTATCTGATAAAGTTCTGCTTTTCTAAATAACAAATTTTCAATGATGTTGCAATGCGCTCAGTAAAAAGGAGTAATCTTATCAGCAGTTTTTCAGCTCGAGGAATGTTTTGAACAATTTTTGTAGGGTCCTGACATGACTAACTGTTCCAGGATTTGAATTTTAAAAACGTTTTTTATCGAAACGGGCAGCAGAGGGGGCACCATTTTTCTTGTCCCAATTTTCGCCTCAAGAAAAAGTCGGGGTTATTTCACGCAACGTCTTACATGATTATGGCGTTGGAATCATCCCAGCCAGTCCTTCACCGGCATTTATCGTCTTGCAATATTTTGATCCGCATGACAAAGACATATTCATTGCCAAATCATTTCAGCGTTTACTGAACCACCAACGATTTTCTAATCGATTGCACAGTTGGCGTAATAACCATTTCGAAAGCTGACTCTCAGAAAATGCGATATGCTGCCGTGGAGTAGCTGTTACTCTTTGAAGCGGCAGGCCCGCTTGAGGAATGGGATATGATCTTTGCCGCAACAGTGAACATGACCTAATATCAATCTGAATTACAATTTCCAAAAGTCACCAGTCGCAAATTTGGGTTACTTTGCCGTTTTATCTCTGCTAGCCTCAGATATTGAAGAAGACAAAACAATAACGGTTGTTATTATTTACGAAATCTACCACCATCCAATATTATTTGCATTTTCTAGCAATAAGCCCTAATCCATCGGAATAACCAGACTCAAGGATCAATATAAGATAAAATACATAAAATTAAAAAAATAATGCAGTATGAAACGAAATTAACAGGTGGTAACTAATACAAATAAAAATAAAACCGTTCCAAACATTGAATAATTCTTATTTTAGATCTGAAGCCTCATTATTGGATTTTATTTTAAAAGCGAATGTTTCTGATTAAACACTGCGAAAGTCCGAAAGCATGGTTTGTAAATAAACTGAAAGAAATCAACTCAACGTAGGACATTCATAAACAATTCTAAGAATATGCAGTAAATCGATAAATAAATACCAATGACAAAGAATTGCAATATCGAGAAAGATGCGAAAAATCAACTGACATCTTGTCCCCATATCTTCCAATTTCATAACGAGATGGATTTTGAAACAGTTCACGAAGTGAATGACTACTGTTACAATGAGGCCAAATTCAAAAAACAAACATAATTCAATTGCACTTGCTTAGCTTAACAGCATTGAAACTGACCATACTTCACAACATATAGAAAAACAAAGCCTGGAAGAGTCGTGAAAATACAATAAAATAGTTTTCACTGACATTTTTAGTTGACATCAATTATACAAAATGGTTATTTTTAAACATTTT